ATTGTTTTCTCATTCTGTTTTTACAAGACCAATTTTTCTAATTTTCCCAGATTGTTGCCAATATTACCTCAAGATTATTATCAACTGCAATCTAAGTGTATCATTAATTCTCTTAGGTGGGTCACTAATAACCAATCTTCAGAGTCCCTTCTTTTTCTAGGTAGATTTCAGAGTTGATTCATAAGTCAGCATCTCCTTTGGAAGATGTTGAATCATTATATTGGCCTCCCACAGGGGATTTGAACTGGGGCCTCTTTCCATGTTCCAGTGACTGTAAGTGATAAGAAATTGCTGCTTTCCTAATAATGATAAATCTCAGCTTCACCAAGAGACCTGGTAGAAGAATTTCTTGTTAGGGTTTGGAGTGCCTCACCTAGCCCTTGGTCTCTAATATTCTCTCTCCCTTTATGGGATCTTACTGGTAACCCCCACCACTCCATGCTCTCCATGTTCTTGCATTATCAGTCTGCCCAAGGCTATCACTCTACCTCTTAGCACAGGAAGGAAAGTACCAAATAGTCACATAGGACTTTATTGAAGCGTTATTACTTTATTGAAGGATAATAGCAGGAAAATAGATGTTGAGTACCTGAATGAGATTATGATTCACTAAACTGCCTGCTTTCCAGGGACTCCTGACCCCACCTTATCTGACTCTTAGCCTACCTCTGTGTAGTAGATGCCATCTTAAGACCCACCACCTAGATTCCACATCTAGACAACTACTGTCCTCCAAATATGTAGACCCAGAGCCTGTGTCCCTGACCAAAAAAGAGATTACATTACCCCCTTTTCCATGCATCTCTCCCCACTCCCCAGATAGCTCAAGCCAGCCTTCTGAATCCTGATATCTTTTGTTGTTGTTGTTTGCCGTCGAGTCGGCCCTGACTCATAGCGACCCCTCCTTGGGTTTCACTACGGATACTGAGGCAGTTATCACTACGGAAGTAGGATTGCCTGACCTTCCTTCCGAGGAGTGGCTGGTGGGTTTGAACCGCCAGCCTCCTGGTTAGCAGTCAAGTGCCTTAGGCACTATGCTACCAGAGCTCCTTGATATCTTATATGAGGGTCTAATTCTTCCCTAGGTAATTGACATTGAGAATGACTATCCCTTTCAGAGGAGACCACTGCCTATTCAAAAAGATGTTACCTTGCTGACCCTAACTGTAGACAAACCCTGTCATTTCCCAGGCTCACAGTGTGGTTTAGGGGGCCCTAGGATGACTTGCGATAGTACTGAGTAAATCATGAGGAGTTAATTCACGCATTATCTCCCACAACAAATGCTGCGGTGACTCAATCAGTAGCAGACCCTCTGCTAGGGCTCAGGGTGCCAACAGATCAGACCAGGCTCAGAGTGGAAGAGGAGACTCCAGCATTAGATGAAGGGATGGATTGCACTTCCAATCTGGTTTTCCCAACCCTGTATTCTCTTATTTATACAATCTGAAGAGAAACCAGAGCTCTAGTGGCATAATGCCTAAGGTATCTGACTGCTAAACAGAAGGCTGATAGTTCAAACCCACCAGCCACTCCTTGGAAGGAAGACTGGGCAATCTACTTCTGTAGAGATACCGCCTCGGAAGCCCAAGGAGGGGTTGCTATGAGTTGGATCTGACTTGACGGCAGTGTATTTGGTTTTGGTTTTCTGCCAAGTCTTTGGTCTACTCAAGATCATCAGGGTCCCTGAGCCCTGGCAACCTGAATTTCAAGAATACCCCTGTCCTTGAAGCCAGGATCTAATCAGTGTTTTGGGAGGGCAATTCAAGGAAGCCAGGGAATTCAGCCTTACATGTATTCATTGGCGAACTCATTCGTTTATTTATACAAATAACATTAATTTATCAAGCGTTTACCATGTACCAAGTATGACCAGGTACAGCCTTTACTAGCATCACCATCTCCCACTGCTAGTAGCAGTGCTAGTCATCCAGGGCCCTTCCATTTTTCATAGTCTTTTGCACATTCTGTGATCACAGCTACTTACCCCAGGGAGTCATAATTGGTTTAAGAGTTGTTTCCTCTACCAGGCTTCAAGGTCAGGAACTAGGTCTGTTTATCTCTTGGCCCCCAGCATACCCAGCTCTGAGAATGGTTAAACCTAAAGAGATTGCCTTGATGAACTAATTTCAGGGTTCCTTGAGATGAAATCAGGTTTAATAATTATATTACAAGCATTCTCACTTCCTTTTCACAGCTCTGTAGTAGTCTACACGCCTGTGTAGAGCAGCTCTCTGCTTCTCATTTAGTTCATCCGAACTAAAATAACTCCTCTTAAGTTGAGTCAAGGGGATCTTGGATAGCATCTGCTTTTCCCAGCTGATCACTATGAGATCATAAGCTTGTGACAGCCAGTTAATATAGTTTCTATCCACATTCAAAAAAAGTCCTGGATGCCATGAGCAGCAGGGGCAGAGATTGTGAAATAAGCCTGCTTGGTGGGGCTTCTTCCTCTGAGGCAGTCATTGATTGGGTGGGATAGTAACACATTGTTCATGATGCATTGGGCCATACGTCCTACCTCACACTTCCCTCTAACTTCTGAGTAAGTTCCTGTGACCCAGATTTGCCACATGGATCCTTAAAGGCCCCAGATTATACCAAGACAGGTCTAGTTGCCCATTTATCTGACTGGAAGTAATGGAAAGAACTAAGGTTTTGAAGTCAGACAACCCTGGTTTCAAATTCTAATCCATTTTTAATTAGCTGTATACCCTTGAGTAAGTTACTTTACCTCTCTGGTTTTGTTTCCTTAGTTGTAATAATACCAGACTTAAAGAATTATTGTGAGGATCAAATGAGTTAATGTAAAGCTCCTAGTAGAATAGCCTGGCCCCAGACTGTTAAGTCAGTTGACTATGATGTTGATAGCTACCATTTAGTGAGGGACTAGATGACTTACAGGGAGCTCTAGTGGTGCAGTGGTTAAGGCATCTGGCTTCTAACCAAAAGATCGCTGATTTGAACCCACCAGCTGCTCTGTGGAAGAAATGTGAGACAGTCTACTTCCTTAAAGATTTATAGCCTTGGAAACTCAATGGGAGTCACTGTGAGTCGGATTGACTTGATGGCAGTGAGTTAGGTTTTTGTTTTGAAGCTCTAGTTCAGTGGCAGATTTTTTTCTTTTCCTGGGAGATTCCTAACTTACATCTTTAGTTGATGATAGTGTTTCTTTCATGAGAAATGAATTAAAAGATTTCTGGGTTCTAGCACCAGCTGTGTCACTAACTACCTAGAAGATCTTGGACAGGTGGGTCTTAAAGTGTTCCCCAGCATTAACATTCTGAGATTCCAGTGTTTGAGAGAATGCGTGATCAGTAGACCCCCACAGCTTTTGGCCTTGCCCTCTGACTCTGGCTTATTCTTTTCCATTGCCTTTGCATTTTTGATAAACAAACCAGAACATTCTGAATAACTGGCCCTCAGTGAGGTAGACAGCTGATCATTCTGCAGCATTCAGCAAATGTTAACTTAGTGTCTTGACCAGTGGGGTACTGGGTACAACTTGGGTAGGAGTCAGAGGTTCTAGTCCCCAGCTTGATTTTTTCCTTTGCTGGGCTTTGGGCTTTGGGGTTGATCTCTTTTTCCGTGATAGTGAGCTCACCGTGAGCCAGAGAGTATTACAAGAGTGTGAGGTGTGAGGTGAAGGCAGAGAGCTCTGTGTTCGTGGGGTCCCGAGGCATTGTGGCATCTCTGCCTTCTACCTTTGAGGACTCTTAGTATCAAGTAATAGTTCTGATGGCTGAAAAAGGCTATTCCCCAGACGGGCAGCTTGGGGTAAGGGAAGCTCATATGTTGTCCCCAGAGTTTTTGGCAGGTGTAGCTGTTCCTGTTCTGGGGGTTCATAGTGTCAGTGTCCTTCTCCCTTACCCCCATCCCAGCATGTGTGCCCCTTACCCAGCCTCAGAGCATGCTGAACTAAGATAGGCTTTGAGTTTTTCAAAAGACAGTTGATTGGAAACAACAAAATAGAACAAACCCAAATCAAGAAAATACACAAACCTCAGTACAGTCTACCTCATAAGCACAGATAAAATCAGAATAATAAATACAGAGGCTATTAAAAATTCCCTTATAAAAGTAATGTATATTCATTAAGGAAAATTTCAGTATGGAAAACTAGACAAAAGAGAAAAAAAAATCACCTATGATCCTACTACCAAAAATGTGTTCAGTGTGAATGTTCTGATATATTTCTTTCTGATTTTTTTTCTTTGCTTGGATTTGGGCTTGTTTTTACATACCGTACCTATCATACTGTGTATCCAATTTTGTACTGTTTTGACACTGAAGGTTACATCTTAAGCATCAGTTGAATGATCACCTGTTAGTCCCTTGCATGCACACTGTGATTTATTTAGACATTCTCCTGTTGATGGTCCTTTGTGAAGGTTCTCATTTCCTTGCTTATTCTTTAATTATAAACAATGCCTAAATGAGTATCAGTATGCATTACGCTTTTTTGACATTTCCACTTCTTTAAATTTCTTCAAGTGAAATGAATGGGTTAGAGGATGTGACATCATGTTTGAGACGTCATGCCCAGTGCTGTCCAAAAGAACTGAACCTCGTTTGCTGCCACACGCATCTGAGAATGCCCTTTGCCCCAAGCCAGCATCACACTGGATGTTTCACTGTTTTAAATCTTCTCTGATGGAATCATAGTTGGGCCACAGAGGAGTTTACATAAGCCACTCCTGAACTCCATTGCTCTTGAGTACCAGCCCTGAGTCCTTCTATTCTGCCCTCCCCATTCCCCTTGCCCCTGATGCTAAACCAGCACAGTCTTCATGTTCTGTTAACTAACTTCCTGACACATCTCTGGACTGTCTTTGTCTCCCGACCCGCCCAGCAGAGATGAAGTACAGTTGGCTTTTAAAAGATACTCTCTAAGCTCTAAGGCCGCCCCTGCCTCTTTACTACCTTCCTGGAAGATGTTAGGCTTCTGTGTGCCTTCCACTTGGGGTGATTCTCACAGCTTTCCTCCTGTTCTTCTCCAGTTCTACAGTGAGTCGGGCATGCCTACCAAACACCTTTCAGACAGCGTTTGTGCCGTGTGTGGGCAGCAGATCTTCGTGGATGTCAGTGAAGAAGGCATCATCGAGAACACATACAGGCTGTCCTGCAATCACGTGTATCCTGTCTTGAGCTCCTGGGTCACATCTTTTCTGCCACATGCGGACTCCAGTCAGAGAGGGAAGGTAGTGGTTGTGACCCTGGGTGTGCTAACCGGACTTTGACATAGGAGAACTACAAGAAAGTAGACATTTGGGTGGCATTTCCTGCTGAAGAAGGGGTCCCTGGGTAGTACAAAATGTTAGTGTGCTCGGCTGCTAACCAAGCCCACCCAGAGGACCTCGGGAGAAAGGCCTGGCAGTCTGCTTCCCCAGAAATCAGCCATTCAGACCCGCATGGAGCACAGTCTACTCTGACACACGTGGGGTCACTGTGAATCAAAATTAACTTGATGGCAACTGGATCTGATTCCTTGTTGGAGAGGCTGACACCTAGGAGTGGGAACTTCAGCCTCCTCTCCCTTTCCCACGAATTGGAGCTACCTTATGTAAGCATTGTTTATAGCCTTGCTAGGTCAGAAACAAAGGAGCTCTGGTGGCATAATGTCTGGCATTTGACTGCTAACCGGAAGGTTGATGGTTCAAACCCACCAACTCTTTGGTTAGGTCAGAAAGGAGTGTTAGGCTATACTAGCTGACCCCAGAATAGGTCTCACACAGGAGAGGGTGGTCCTCTAACCGGACTGCAGTTTTCAGAATCTAAGCCCCCTGAATAACACTTCTGATATTTATGAGGTATTTATTCAATTCTCATTCCATGCCTGTATTGGGAGATTCATGTCGTATCTCTCCTTTAACATATAACAAACCCTGTCCAACAGGATCAGTATCCTCACGTCGCGTGAGGAAAAAGGTTCAGAAAGGATTTGTGCAAGAGTACACAGCTAATAAGAAGTGAAGCCAGGGTTTGGACATTTGTTCAGAGGTAGAGTGCACAGGCTCCTTGAAGACTGCCTCAGGACTGGAGTGCTTCCTGGCTGCCCACCATTTTCCTTGACCAGTGGTGCTTAGATTCCACGAGTTTTGCATCCGTGGCTGGTGCATTGTGGGAAAGAAGCAGACGTGTCCCTACTGCAAAGAGAAGGTAGACCTCAAGAGGATGTTCAGTAACCCGTATCCTTTGTTTGGGTCCTTGCTGGGAGTGGGCAGTTGGGAGAAAGTATTGGCCAGTACTTTAAAAAAAAAAAAAAAAAAAACTCCAGTTTTGAACATTAGAAAAACTTCAGGGGTTACCTTATCCTACTCCCCATTTATTATCTTCACTTTGCCTCATAAGTACCCTACAGAAAAAGGATCATTATCCTCACTACCCCCGTCATCATTGATACATTTACATCAGTCTCAGGCTGTATTTCCAGGAGTGGCAGTCATCTTAGAGGTAGTAGTAATGGGAGACCCTCTCTGCACATTGGTACAGAGATGTGGATGTCACCTCTCTCTACCTCTCTCATGTCTGTTCTATTCCTTGCACCAGTCCCCTTTGCCCTTCTTACCCCATTATCCCTTCTTTCCAGCATAAAGGGCTGAAAACAGGCTGAGTGGGCCCTTCTAGAAAGGAGGTTCCATTTCTCATAAGCCAATTTCTGTGAGCCAATTCAGAGAGGGCCTGGGCAACCATTCCCACCAGCGATACCAATTCTTATACAGAGTCTCTTCTTTAACACACCAACAGCTGGGAGAGGCCTCACGTCATGTATGGGCAGCTGTTGGATTGGCTTCGATACCTGGTAGCCTGGCAGCCTGTGATCATTGGCCTGGTACAAGGCATCAACTACATCCTGGGCCTGGAATAGTTAGGAAGAGGAGCATCAGAGGACAACCTACCCTACCCACCGTGGACCTCAGGGCACTCTCCTCCCTGCCCACAAAGACCTGCTGGGTGGGAAAGACTCGAAGGGGCGCTTGGGCCACTCAGGACCCCCTCCAGCTATGTCTGTGCTGGGGTGGGGTATGAGGAGAGCCAGGCAGTGGGCTGCCAGCAGTGGGGGGCTTTTTAAAAGAAAACTATTTTGATGAATATATTTAAAAAAAAAAAAAACCAACCTTTTTTTATTGTGGAGCATAGAAATTGCCCCTAACTCCTCCAGGCCTCACCCTCCCTGCTTGAGCAGGGTGGAGCAGAAGCTTTTTTTTTTTTTTTTGAGGGGGGGAGGTTTAAAGGGGCCTTGTCATCTCTGGTTGAAGGCACTGACAGGTTCTCGGGTAGCTGAATGCCTCCACCCACCCCCTCCCTTTTCCTTCCCTCTGTGGGGCTCAAAGCTGGTCCACTCAGTGTGGTCATCAGAAGAGCTCAGACTAGTGCCACAGACAAGCACTAAGGGGTGAAGTGTCTTCTCCCCAGTCTGGGACATGGAATGGGTGTTGTATCTGAATCTCCCTCCCTCTGGACAGGAGCTATAGGCTGGTTGAGACAAGTGGAGCCTTGATAATGACTTTTTAAACAAGGGAAGGCTTGTTTCATCCGTATCACTGGGGATTTATTTTAGGGCATCCAGTGAAGCAGCAGCACGGATAACCTGCTCCTGCACAGGCCTGTACTCAGCCAAGAATGGAAGCCATCTGTAGTTGGGCCTTGGGGGCTATTGTTGGCAGTGATGATTGAGGGCCCCTTGTGCAAGTGCAAGCTCCAACCTAGAAGTGGTGACATGTGCCAGTAGCCACTCTGGTAGGCTGCCTGTCACATCACTTCCTTCTCTAAAAGCCGAGTGAGAGTGCTTGCGTGCATGTGCGCACTCAGACAGTGACAGATGTGGAACTTCTCTCTATCGTCAGTCTCCTCTTGAGGCTGCAGGGAGATTCTCAGCCCAGGGGATACCCCATTGTGGGCCTTATCATCCATGGATCTAGCCCAACCAGATGGGCAACGGGAATGGTGGGTGGTGGAAAGCAGGGTAAGACAGAAGTGAACTGGGTTCTGAAAAGGGTCCCAGCCCTAGTTCTAAGAATTCAGAAGAAAGTGGAAGGACCAACATAGGCCTTCAAACTAGGCCCCTAATGAACAAGGCCTGGCAGGGCTGGCCCCTTCAAGGGCAGCAGGAACCAAGCAGGATCTTGTCATCTGGTCTGAATAAAGCTCCATGAGCTAGGTTGGAAAGCTAAGCATCCATCTTGCTTTTCTTCTTCCCACTTCTTTCCCTGGAGTCCCCTGGGTTGCCGTGCCCTCGCTGCCTTTGCTGCTGCCATCTGAGAGCTGGGGCCTGAGGGTGGTTGGCCTTGCATTCCACTTTTCCCACCCAACCTCTGTGACGGTATTGGAGTGCTGGGCTCCTTGGAGCATCACTGGGCCCCCTTCAGTTAATTGTCCATCCTTACCACCTGAGGTCAGTGCCCTGCCACCACTCTCACTCCTTAGGCCCCTCTCAACCTTGGCTTCTCTCATCCAACTGTGACTTCCCACGGACCCCCACTGCTCATACCACCTGTGGGCCTAGCCTCAGAGAATGAAATGGGGACTGGTCAAAGGGTAGAGAAATCACCCTTCCTTTCACTGTTGTCCTCACAACCCCCACATCAGGTTCATATGAGAAGCCAAGGCCAACGTGTCCAAGGTTCTGTTTCCATACTAATAGTCCTATGACCTTCCACTGGCCCATGCCTGCTCTTGGTTACATTCTAAGGTGGAGTCATATCTCTTCTCCATCCTTCACAGGAGACCTGAAGAAGAGGATGTGGCTTTTAGTCTGACATTTTAAACAGGTGACCTAAAAGGACTTGCAGACCAAACCTGGGACAACTCATTCCTCCACCTAGGTTGGTCTGGAGGTTGAGTTACATTTCTGGAAAAGACACTGTATGTCTAAATTAGAAATGGAAATCTAGCTTTTCCACAAAAACACTTGGATTTATAGCAGCCTGGTGTACAGCCTACTCTGACACATACTGGCTTGTTATGAATCTGAATAGACACGACAGCAACTGGTTTCTTTGATTTTATATTCCTGGTGTACCTCCAAATCCAGGTCCAACTCCTGGCCTCCCTGCCTGTGCGTCCAGCACACTTCCCTCCTGATCACAAACAGATACTGCTAGCTCTTGTCCTCCATTCATATACACATGCGTCGGATCACCCAGTCTTGGTTTTACCTCCGTAGACCCACCACCCTGAGAGCACCACCTTAAATTTTGCACCCAAGTTTCCTTACTTGCCTCACCCTAGTCCCGGCTCCCACAGACCCAGTTTTGTTTGCCTCAATGGTGACCAGATGTGGAGCGTTATATATCCTCTATTGTTGCTGTTGAACCACAGCTAACAGCAGCCAGGAACCTTCCTGCTAACTCCAGGTCCCCTACTCTCCCTATGATGGCAGGTTGGGAGCTTTCATCTACCCCTCCTAGGATGGGAACTAGATGCA